TCTCTGTCCTGTTCTCTGTCCTGTTCTCTGTCCTGTTCTCTGTCCTGCTCTCTGTCCTGCTCTCTGTCCTGCTCTCAGTCCTGTTCTCAGTCCTGTTCTCTGTCCTGTTCTCTGTCCTGCTCTGTCATGTTCTCTGTCCTGCTCTCAGTCATGTTCTCTGTCCTGTTCTCAGTCCTGTTCTCAGTCCTGTTCTCTGTCCTGTTCTCTGTCCTGTTCTCTGTCCTATTCTCTGTCCTGTTCTCTGTCCTGTTCTCAGTCCTGTTCTCAGTCATGTTCTCTGTCCTGTTCTCTGTCCTGCTCTCAGTCATGTTCTCAGTCCTGTTCGCTGTCCTGTTCTCTGTCCTTCTCTCAGTCATGTTCTCTGTCCTGCTCTCAGTCATGTTCTCTGTCCTGTTCTCAGTCCTGTTCTCTCTCCTGTTCTCTGTCCTGTTCTCTCTCCTGTTCTCAGCCCTGTTCTCTGTCCTGTTCTCTGTCCTGTTCTCTGTCCTGTTCTCAGTCCTGTTCTCTGTCCTGTTCTCTGCCCTGTTCTCAGTCCTGTTCTCTGTCCTGTTCTCTGTCCTGTTCTCTCTCCTGTTCTCTGTCCTGTTCTCTGTCCTGTTCTCTGTCCTGAGCTCCGGTGTTCTTCATTCACGATTGTGATGGTCTGCAAGAAGAATAAACTTTTTGACCTGTAAAAAGGAACAGCATGCCATGTCCCTTCAGAACAACTGAAGTCCCATTAAATCCAAATGACAGATCGTAAGAACAGAAAGTAAAACTTGATCACTGAGGCGTGAAATGTTCCGTCAGTTCTGCTCAGATTCAGATTTATTATTAAGAGTAATCTAATCTAATCCTGGGCAGCACGGTGGCGCAACTGGTAGAGCTGCTGCCTCTCAGCGAGCAGGTCCCTGGTTCAAACCCCGGTCCAGGGGCCTTTCTGGGTTGAGTTTGCATGTTCTCTCTGTGCATGCCTGTGTTTTCTCTGGGTACTGCGGTTTCCTCCCACAGTCCAAAAAAATGCATGTTGGACTGACTGGTATCTCTGAATTATCCCTAAGTGTGAGTGAGAGAGTGAATGGTTGTTTGTCTCTGTGTGTCCCTGTGATGGACTGGAGACCTGTCCAGGGTGTCCCCCGCCCCTCACACAGTGATTGCTGGACATGAGCACCGGCGACCCCCGTGACCCAAAATGGAAGAAGCGGGTAAAGATAATGCATGTATAATCTAATCCCTGAGTATTTCATTAACGCTCAGGGATTAGATTTTTTCACCTTCTGACCACTTTCACTTTAAATCTGTGGGAAATTACCTTTTTATGTGTGGATTATATCATGGAGATGGGGAGGTAAGAGAGAAATCATTGAGAGACTCTGTCACTCAAATCAGGTTTACTGGCTGGGGGGGGTTGTTAATCCCTCATCTCCTGTATTTTCTTATTTGATGTGATTTAAAGCTCAGGAGAACAGGAGTGTTTAAAATTCGCACTTCCGGAACGCTGGGAGCTGGTGGCAGTGAAAGGCACTGTCAGTCCTGTGCACGTCGCTGCGCGTGAGTTTAAATGGATCAGCTGTGGTGAAATGTGAGCAAGACCGCCGCCGCGCCCGCGCGTCACATCACGCAACTCGTTAAAGCATCTCCTCAGACTGAAGCAGCTGCAGAGGAGTCCACAGGTCCTCCTCCTCCTCCTCCTCCTCCTCCTCCTCCTGCTGCTCCTCCTCCAGCTCGCTGTCCTCCAGACACCGAAGCAGCTGCGCGGACACAAACTTCTTTGGAGCCAGAATTTTACGCACAGACTCGAAAAAAACAAAACAAAAAAACTGTCCTGCTTCAACCGGCGCAATTTACGGACAACTTTCAGAGGAAACATGCGCGTTAATGTTTCTGTGGCTGTGCTGTTCATCTGTGGAGTGTCAGGTGAGTCCAAACTGAGCTTCATCCTCCTTGTTGAGCATCTCAGCAGCCTTTAGGTGGCACCGTGTCGGAACCATCGAGGCGTTTTTCCACCAGTGGGGGTCATTTTCATTTTGTTTCAGGGAAATACAGTTCAGGGAATTTTTCACAAGTAATATTCTCTATAAATCAAATTATCTGTGTGTAAATATTTATTCATCCAGCTCATAAAAGCTTTTTTTAAATCGGTTAAAGCCCGCATGCGAGCAAATAAACACATTATATTATTATTATTATTATTATTATTATTATTATTATTATTATTATTATACATGTTTTCTGACCATCCTTAGTGGTGATCGTGTTTTCATCATCCATCCATCATTTTTACCTGCTTATTCCTTTTTTGGGTCATGGGGTCACCATGTCCAGCTATCACTGTGTGAGAGGCGGGGGACGCCTGGACAGGTCTCCAGTCCATCACAGGGACAAATGAGACAAACAACCATTCACCTAGGGACAATTTAGAATTACCAGTCAGTCTAACATGCACGTTTTTGCTCTGTGGGAGGAAACTGGAGTTTCTGGAGAGAACATGCAAACTCCATCCAGAAGGGATTTGAACCGGCAACCTTCTTTCTGAGAGGCAGCGACTCTAACCAACTGCGCCACCGTGCATGCCTGGATTAAATCCATCATTTGAAGCCTGCTCAGAGGCGTCTAACGTTATTCAACCTTCTCCATGTGGAAGATCTGCTGTTCTTAGTTTTATTATTGATAAATTATTGGAAATGTTAAAGAAGTGTTCACCCAGACCCTGAACGTGTCCTTCCAGTATTTGTGATTAATGTCCATTCAGTGGAGCACATCTTAAAACCAGAGCGCACACACTCATTCTAATTTTCCTTAATTGTATTATTTATCATAAGTTTGTTTTCATTAGAGTTCAGTTTTACTGTTAAAATGAAACAGCTGAGTTTTTATTTGTGTGTGTTCCTTCAAGGAGAGCAGCCGGGGTCCTTCAGTAAAATGCTTTTCTTGTTTCTTATCGGCTTTTCTGAAGCTTCAGCGTGTTTGGACAAAGGCCAAGGCAGCGAGTGAGAGCTCAGTCCATCCTGCAGAAGCGTTTCATTTTATTGGGTTTTTGTCCATTTTTAATTTCACATCAGATACTTTATTGTTTTAGATCCGAAGCAAGAGAGTCTAGTTTAAATTCAGCTGTGATTATCTTAAAAGTCTGCTTTGTAGTTGTCTTCTCCAGATCAGTTCTATATTAAAAATGTGTCCAGAGTTGCTCTGAGTTGAAACGGAGAACGACTTCCTCACTGTCTCAGCTGGACTCAAATTTCACAGACAAAAATTCAGCACTTCCCTGCTCCGATGACAAAATGTTAAATAGATTATTAACATTCTGGCTCAGAGACTTTCTCATCCACCTTTTCTGCCACTGTGCTCCCCGGAGGGAACAGGAGCACTTCTTCACCAGACCTCCTCCTGTGAAGCAGCTGAGTGGAGTCAGACCTTATTCAGGCAGGAAATCTGTTCCACCTCCGATGAGTCTTCTTCCAGGATTCTCCCAGAGAGAAGACGCTGAGCGTGTTTAGGTCACAAAGAGGATGATGAATATCCATCTACATTTAAAGGTGGCGTGCACGTCACCTTCCACTTTGTTGCCCCCTCTTTATGAAGAAAAGAGGCGGAATTAGAAATACTATCTATCCATCCATCCATCCATCCATTCGGCTGAGCATGTTGCATGCATAACTTGAAAATCAAGTACCGACTTTCATTTTGGCATGTAGCTTCATCTAGAAATTTTTATTTTTTTTTTAACTGGGTTGCCACTTCAAAATCGAAGGTGACCACCACCATGTACGTGTGTAAACCAACCAGTAACATTATTTTGGGAAACTATGGTAAATGGAATGTACTTACACAGCTCCTTTCTATCTAATCAAGACACTCAGAGCTCTTTACAGTCTGAGCCTTATTTACCCATTCATACAGCTCTATACTAGATCTCTGCAAAGCTAATTGAGCAAATCATTCTAAAGAGACTAATCAGAGCTTTATCACATTCACACACCGATGGGACACATCGGAGGCAATGAGGGGTTCAGTGTCTTGCCCAGGGACACTTCAGCATGTGACTGCTGGTGGATTCGAACCCACAACTCTTGCATTAGAGGACGACTGCTCTAACCGCTCAGCCACAGCCGCCAAAATATAATCAGTAGTAGATGTGCATTCATTAATTCCTTTCTGCAAGTTTCATTAACATTAATTCACTGGTTCATGAGATATTTTGCTAACAGATGAGCACACAAAACTCGACACAGACAGAGGCACAAGCATCATGGCCCATCCTCGCCTCATGGCTATACATGAAAATACGGTTTGTCAACTTTGTGTCAATGCTTGTCACTTAAACTGCATGTAGGTCATTATATAAAATAAAGTATATAAAGTTTAATCTGGTGTGACCTCCTGATGAAACTGAGAGAAGAGCAGAGCAGAGAAGAAACGTTGCTAATCTAAATCAGTCTGTCACTTTAGCTCCACGGGCGTCCTGGTGGATTTATCTGCCGAGCTGCTGACGTTCAGAGACAGTCAGGTCCAAACCTCACCGGCCTCAGTGACATGAAGCTTCATGAGTAAATCAGAGCAGGAAGACGTTTCTGTCGTCAAACTTCTGAACGAGTCGACCGTCTCTCCTGAACGAGTCGACCGTCTCTCCTGAACGAGTCGACCGTCTCTCCTGAACGAGTCGACCGTCTCTCCTGAACGAGTCGATTGTCTCTTCTGAACGAGTCGATCGAAGGTTGCAGGATTGAATCCCAGCCTGCAACTTTGGACTGAATTAGTATGTTCTCGTTGTGCATGTATGGGTTTTCTCCAAATACTCCACTTTCTCTGCACAGACAAAGAATCTGGTTGAGTTAAATGGTGATTTTATATTGTGACTGAGAGTGAATGGTTGTCTCTGTGAGGGACTGGAAACCTGTCCAGGTGTCCCTGTGATGGACTGGAGACATGTCCAGGTGTCCCTGTGATGGACTGGAGACATGTCCAGGTGTCCCTGTGATGGACTGGAGACATGTCCAGGTGTCAATGTGATGGACTGGAGACATGTCCAGGTGTCCTTGTGATGGACTGGAGACATGTCCAGGTGTCCCTGTGATGGACTGGAAACCTGTCCAGGTGTCACTGTGATGGACTGGAGACATGTCCAGGTCTCCCTGTGATGGACTGGATACATGGCCAGGTGTCCCTGTGATGGACTGGATACATGGCCAGGTGTCCCTGTGATGGACTGGAAACCTGTCCAGGTGTCACTGTGATGGACTGGAGACATGTCCAGGTGTCCCTGTGATGGACTGGAGACATGTCCAGGTGTCCCTGTGATGGACTGGAGACATGTCCAGGTGTCAATGTGATGGACTGGAGACATGTCCAGGTGTCCTTGTGATGGACTGGAGACATGTCCAGGTGTCCGTGTGATGGACTGGAGACATGTTCAGGTGTCAATGTGATGGACTGGAGACATGTCCAGGTGTCCCTGTGATGGACTGGAGACCTGTCCAGGTGTCCCTGTGATGGACTGGAGACATGTCCAGGTGTCCCTGTTGTAGATTGGAGACCTGTCCAGGTGTCCCCCACCTCTCACGCTGTGACTGATGGATATGAACAGCACTGAGTCGTGAAATGAAAAGGAATAAATGAGTAAAAAGAATGTATTGATGGAAAATACTGAACTTTATTTACCAAAAAAATAAATAAAAAAATCTCTAAATACATTGAAATCTCTTCAGTTCACTTTGAACTTCAGCCGACTGAGAGGATCTGTGTGACTCGTGTCCTCCTGCTCTCCTCAGTGTCTCTCCTTCTTGTAATCAGCTCCTGCCTCCACCTGTTGTCCTTCCCCAGGTGTTTGTCATTGTCTGCTTGTTAGCGTCTGTATTTAAATCTGCGTCTGTGTTCCCCGTGCCTGCGCCTCGTCACGTTTGGTTCTGTCTCTCCGTGTCTCCTCATTCCTCGCTCCCTGTGAGTTTTGCTGACTCGTCAGCCTGATATTTTGTTAATGGACTTTATATTATTTAGCCTGCGAGTTCCCTGTACCTGCCTGCACCAATGGGTTCACTCTAACACAGAATCATAACAACTACTTTTTGTTTTTATGCTCTTTATAGTTTTAATTGTTTTAATATCGGTTTTAGATGCAGTTGTTTTAGCTTCCGCCTTCTGTTTTGCTGTTTTAGCTCTCAGCTGCAGATTTACTCATATATTCCTTAGCTGAGGTTTGGCTCATTTGTGTTCTGTTCTACTTGTTGTAACTTTATTTTTAAAGTTTTAGCTCCAACAAAATTAGGTAAAAGCATTTGCAAACCATTTTTGACATAAAATGCTATTTGGTCTTGTTGACTGGAAGTGTTTGATTGACAGGTGTTTTTCGAAACAGCGCTGTGAATCACAGTCACTGAAAGGATTCGTAGCATTAACGCCTTCTAAGCTCAAGGCAAAGACAAACCCGAATGATAATTTTCTCTGTTGAACTCGGTGGTTCTGAATGACGTCATCAGTGGCTGACGGCTGAAAAGACTTACAAATATATATTTTTTTGTATTTTCAACTTTCAGTTCTAAAAACAAACAGTTTATTTTGTTTTTCACTGTGTTTCAAAAAGATTACCAGAGTGAAATAATGTAGCGTAATGATTCACTTTAGTGTTTGACTTCACATAAAGGATTTCAGAGTGGCAGCTGATATTCCTGGGAAATGTGTTTTATTTGGATTTTAGATGAGCTGCCATGAAACATCCTTCCATCTGAGTTAGTGATTAAATTACCATGATGAGATTCTTTTCTTTGGCTCTGGTCATGTGGAAAATTCATATTTAAATCATGGATCTTAACCCTGAGCATGCTGCTGTAAAATAACACAGCCCACTGCCAATCATTTTGTAGGATTTCATGTTTTTATTGATTCAAAATAATAAAATGATTTATAGAATTCTAGAATATTTTCTATATTCTATATTTCTATATATATATCTATATATTTCTATATTTATATAATTATAGAATTATAGAGTTCTAGAATTGCTCAAAATATATCTCAACTACAGCCCCAAATCTCAAATAAGTTGAAAGGATGTTCTGTGGATGCATTCTCGTCTACCTGCCAGCTGTGCTCGAGTGCCTGACCACTGAGATCCTGGAACTAGCAGGAAACACGGCTCATGACAGCGGAAGGACAGAATCGTCCTTCAGCACCTACAGTTGGCTGTCCGCAGCGACGAGGAGCTCAGCAGACTGCTGGGAGGAGTGGCCATCACTCTGGGAGGAGTTCTGTCCAGCATTCAGGTGGTCCTACAGCCCGGGGGAACCGAGAGGCCAGCCGAGTCTGGGTGGACGGATCGGACGACATCTGGAGCCAGTTTCTTAGGATCCACTGTGGGATGGACCTTTACAAGAGATCCTTCCTGCCTACAGCCATCAGTATCTATAACATCTCTTAATGAAATGAGGATCACGAGTTACAACAACAAATAATTTCCCTTTGGGATTAATAAAGTATTTTTGAATTGAATCGAGTTGAATATAATGTGGCAGATGCAGTTTACTTTTATTTTGCTAAATGCGATTTTTCTGCATTTTCTTAGGTACCTTTTTGTCGAACATTTTACTATTTATCCATTTACTGTCTACAAATACATGAAGTAACATGCAGTGACAGGTAAAATATAAAAGAACGGACCTTTTAGTTTCTTCTCCACCTCCAGGTGCTTGTGTAGAAAATGAAAAGTGAAGAACCTGCAGCTCAGTGTCTGAAAACAAAGCATCCTTTGACAGCAGTCATGAATTATCATTAATGCTTTGCCTCATGTTGTATTGTGGAATACAATTCAACATCTGCTGCTCTATTTAAGTCAGTTCCTTTTAAGTCAAATAAATGCAACAGATTACTCTAAATTAAGATCCTGTTTATGTTTAGGTTTTAGCTTTTAGTGAGTTTTGAATTCTCGTCGACTCACCCGGGCACCCTGCTTCCTTCAGAGGCTGTTTACGCCCGGTGCTGACAGGCGTCCTGCTTGATCTGATTACAAGTGAACAGAAAGGTGCAGGTGTAAATGCATTTGGGACAGATTGAGGACACGTTCAAGCACAATTGCTCAGGTCACATTCGAAGGAGGTCGGAGGGGATTGTGCAGGTTTATAATGGTGTGATTAAATGTGCCTTCACAAAACAAGCTGGATTTGTAGCAGGATGTTTCTCGCTTGTGAAGATGTTGAGAAACATTACTACAAACCTCCTATAGCTTGTGTAGATGTTGAATCACAATAAACAAGCAGTGCGAGGATGGACCCGGTCGCTGGGGGTTCTGAATAGTGAATGTTTGTTCTGAGAAGAGTGTTTTTCTGGACTGGACCTGAACAGGGAATGAAGTAAACCTAAATGTTTTTGGTGCAAAGTATTCAAGTGGGTAGGAGCTGCACTGTGGAGAAGAACAGAGGAGATGTTTTTTTCTACTGGCTTCTCCAAGATGGTGCAGAGTGATGGATCCTGGTAAGTGGAGGGAGTGATTGTATCCACCACCATGTGCAGTGGTGAAGCCAGGGGGTGGCCAGTGGTGACCTTGGCCCCCATATATTAATCTTCAAACACCCCGATCATTTGAGGAAACTATACTTTTTAAGCCAATATAAAACTAGAAAGCATAGTTCCCTCAAATGATTGGTGTGGCCAGTTTATATATGTGGTGGTGGCCATCTTGTATTTTGATGTGGCAACTGAATTTTTGATTTCTTACAGCGATGTAGCCGCACACCAACATGAAAGTCAGTAACTCACTTATTTTTCAAGTCATCATGCTTGCAACATGTATGGATGAACAGACAGATGGGGTATTTCCAACTCCTCGTCTTCACTCCATGATCGGGGACAATTCTGCAACATCATCCATGTTTCTTTATATTTTATTTCTCTCATTGTTATTTTTACATTATTGATCTTATTAGATGTTTGCATTGATGACATGAGATATAAAACCATCACCTATAGATCTGAAGGCAGCTCTTAAATCTGATTAGATCTGCTTTGTTCCTCCTTCAGCTTGTGATGTGCTGTGCTCTGCGTGGGGGTATCACTGATCCTGCTGGGTGTTAATTATGCGACACCTCAACAGCACTTTGATTTTCATGTGCTGACTCCTGGGACATGGTTAAACCTCTGGAGGTGATTCTTCTGTGTTGTTGGACACATGGAACCATAATGAATAACCTCCTGCTGCCATTGTGTAATCTGTGATTGGTTGTTCCAAATTCTGTTTTTGTTGAACATAAAAACTAGAACGCTTAACTGATTTCAGGATGACGTTAACCAGGTTTTAATTGTTGATTCATGGATTTATTGCTTTTTCAGCGAGAATAAAATTTCATAAGTGTTCAATATTTAAAAATGGTGTACGAAATCTAAATAAAAAGAAGTCATCTGTGGCACTATGTACATTTACATCTCCATCTTGTGCTGCCAATCTGTAATCAGGACCCCTATTCTGGGAGACCCTAGACCACATCACCCAGGATCATGGTGGTACCCAAACCCCTCTACCATGTTAAGGTGATGATTCTGCAGAGGGGACACATATATATATATATATATACCAACTTGTAATACCTTATTGGTTTTATTTATTTTAATTATCATGAATAAATGAGTTGTACGCAGGAACATGTTTGTAATACATGTGAGAGATCAATCATCTCTGGTGTTTGATGCAACTTTAAACCTAAAAACATTTCAAGAATTGTTTTCAAATGTTTTTTCTTGAGGTATTATATGATGAAAGTCACCTGCTGGAATCAGAGCACAAAACTTTTGTAATTTACAGACAAAGCAAAATACTTTTGAGTAAATATCTTGAAAACAGATAGTTTTTTGACAAGTACATGTCAGATAAATATGGAAAAGTCTGAGGACACCAGCTCAGTCATTGAAAGGAATATTTGATTAAGATGGATTAAGCTTTGAGCCGTTCAATTTTCAGCAACATTTGTTTCTAGTCTGCTGTAATACTCTGGAGTCAGAAGCAGCCGTCAGTTCTGAAGCAGGTCTTTTAAAGGATGACAAGATGATGAATTTATGTATTGCCTCAGAACAAATGTTGCATGCAGATATCTTTATATATCTGCCTGAAAACCATCTTTGTGAAAAGAACTCGGCCGACGTTAAACAGGTTTGGAGGCCTCCGTGTCCAACGGAGGGGTTAGGATATGTGGGAGAGCTAGGTCTGTAGCATCCTAGCTAGTGCATCTGTGTTGTGTGCCGCTAGCTTAGTGCTATGTTAGAGCTAGGAGTTGTCGACCGGTGTGTGTGTGTATGTGTGTGCGCGCATGTGTGTGTGTGTGTGTGTGTGGGGGGGGGGGGGGGAGGATGTGTGAGGGAAGCAGAGTTCACTTTATTCACACAAGGAGAGCTGTTGGTCAGGTTACTTATTGTTGCTCTCTGAAATAGTTATTAAATCAAGTGTTTACTTACTGTATGTAGGTAAACGTAGATGTTTAACAACCCGTATATTCATGGGGCTCTCAATTCGTTCCAAAGGGTCTGTTTTTTTGGGGGGGGGGTTGTGAAAATATTTTTCAAATCTGTCTATTTTCAATAAATGGTTATTCTAGTGAATGTTTTTTAATATATTTTTGAACTGAATTGAATAATTAGTAACATATGGTGACAGCCAAGATGGATACAAAGTGGGCCATATACGGTGTAAACGGAAGTGAACAAGAGAAAAATGTGCATGGCCGACAATGCAACCTTGCTTGCATGCAGAGGACAAAAAAACACGTTCTTTTAACTGACGGCTCATAAAGCAGCTGCATAACTCATCTGTCATCAGCAGGTTCAAGGTGGACAATGACTGTGGTATTTTACAAGTAACTGTTGTAAATGAAAAACAATTCTTACCTTCTAACTTGACTAAAGAGCTTTAATGTTTGTTCCATTTAACTTCAGATGATGTGTGGTTCAGAACAGAGCAAAGCTGTTTGGATAGTGTCGGCAGAAATTGTCTTCTTGAAACTCACCCGGTCACATTTGACTGTGTCTGATTAAAGACGGGGGCAGTACGTGTTCCTTTAATCATGCTCTTTGGTTTCCTGCTGTGTTTGTAGCACTCAATACCACAGATGAGAAGACGACGTGCCCGCTTGGATATTTCCCCTGTGGCAACTTGACCGTTTGCCTCCCGCAGCTCCTGCACTGTAACGGCATCGATGACTGCGGGAATCAAGCAGACGAGGAAAACTGTGGTGAGTTACTTTTCAACTTGAAGCAAAACTCACGAGCTAATGTTGACTCACGCAACCTGCCATGAAGTTTGACACATACTTTGAATTATAAACTGTAAATACAGCCCAAACAATGAGTCAAAAGGATATTACTTAGATGTCAGGTGATTATAAGTTGGATTTCTTTTCCTGAGTCACTGTCCCTCTAATTTCACAAGCAAGAGATTCTCCTCAAAAACTAAAAATAAATACTAAAGTTCTTTTGAATCATATTTTCCTAAAACACAAAAATGACTATAAAATTACATTATCTGCTTGATATAATTGTACCTGTTGTGACAAGAGTTTAACAAGCAGTATACCTATGTCCGTCGTCTCGTAAGGATTTGAACTGTGAATGTTTGTTGTTTAAGAGATGAGTGTTTTTTTTTTACTTGAACTGAACTGGAAATGAATGTAAACCTTAATGTTTGTGGTGAAACACATTCAAGTGGGGATGAGTTATCATTTTCCTCAAATGATCCAGGGAGCTGGTTTACATATATATATATGTGGCGGTGGCCATCTTGGATTTGTATATGGAAACCCAGTTTTCAAAAGGAAACTTTTTTACGCCTAGATGCAGCCACACACCAAAATGGAAGTCGGTACCTCACTTACTTTTCAAGTTGTCATGCTCTAAATAATCGTGAACGGACAGATGAAGGGTATTTCCAATTCCCCCTTTCCGCTTCACGACATGGGACAAAAAGTAAGACTTAAATGATCTAATATTGCTTTAAGGAATGTATATTTCATTTTGTGTTGAGAAATTATGGAGATATATTTGTTTTGGTTGAACATTTCAATTTCTGTAAAATCTATTTCCTGATTGAAATCATCAGCAAAGCAACACTGAATTGATTTGGTTGGTCCCGCAATAATCAAACAACATATATATCAATCAGCTTTATTTATAAAGGCACCCTTCATACTAAAAACAGCTCAAAGTGCAGAACAGAATTATAAACAATAAACCCACAAGATAAAAGCAAGAAATATCCACACACACCAATTAAATGCACAATTGTATGGACATTTTATAGACGGAGCAGAGATGATCCAGTTCAGGATATGCAGTTTAAAACAATGTATACAGGTGTGTATATTGTGTGTGTGTTTGTTTATATGTATATATACACACACCTTTTTTTAATTCTTTACATGAAATAGCCTTATGATGGGATTTTAATAATCAATTCCTGCTAGAGGTCCACCACAAGTTATTAAAGGGATTCAAACTCTGACACTTTTTTTAATTTCTTATTGATGTTGTGACTCATTCTATTTTTCATTTGCACGTGACCTGCCTTCACATATTCTGTGCATGATTGATGTGATGCGTGCATGCTCTTCCCACACCTGCCTCATTTATAAACTTCTTTTGTACAGAGACTTTAAAGAGGAAGTGCTGAAACGTGTGTTTGTTTATGGAAATGCATTTTTTTTTTTTCTGCACACCTTTTTATTCATTGTTCTTGAACTCTCCGTTTCACACGTATGGCCTGTTTCTATCTCTTCATCACAACTCCAGATGGAAAAATAATATAAAACATAACAAAAATAAAAGGGAAGATACATGGCTAACTAAACATCTGTGGAAAGAGCAGTTGTAGAATAAATCCTGCCGTAGAGAAAATAAATAGCACCACCAATCAAACATGCACCGGCTGACCTGCTAAAATGAAGTCATGCACAGCTAAATAGAGAAAACAGAAATGTGAGTTTTAGTAAGAGCTAATGTCGAGGGAAACATAATGACAACATCTGAGCAAGGAAACAATCCTGGATCGATTCGGGAACACAAACATGTGAATCAAACTTTCCTGGGGATCATGGCAGAAGCCTGATGAAGGCTGGCAGCACTCTCCGGTCAGATGAGTCTCACTATTTTTGGACCGTGCATGCAGAGTTGCCACAGTGCAGAGATAACGCTGTGATAAAATGAGGTTGTAGAGCAGCTGGTATTTGATGCAATAAATGATTGATTATACGATAATGCTCACATTATCAAATCCTGTTCCCAGAAACTTACTGGGAAATGTTAGCAATCAGTCTGTAAGCTAGCCAAATGATTAGAAGGGTTTCTGAAGGCAGAAAAGATAAATGTCACCCGGTTGAACACGTGACTGGACTTGAATCCAACAAAATTTCAGCTGTTCGTGAAACTAAAACGGAACAAACCCCCACAAGCAAAGAGCAGCTCTGTCTGAGAAAAATGCAAATCTATCCAGAGGTAACAACACTGGAGTTTCCCATGTTTAGCGGAGATGAGCCGCCAGGAAAACATATTTTAAGATAATAATCTGAATCTCATTGAGCTTTGGACTATTTAAAAAAAAAAAATGTATAAAAGTTGTTTGTTTTGATTTGGACATGAGAGCAAACATCCCACTGGTCACCTTCATTTCTGGTTGTGGGAGTTGTATTTACAAATAGACATTTAAGTGAAACTGCACCAACCTACAGTAACCTCTGGGTCCTCCCTCACTGTAATAATGGTTTATTATCAGATGGAATGACTTACCGTCCTATTAATAGTCAGATGCATGGCTGTGGGTAATTACTGGTGCTGTTGTGTCTGGAGAACCTCCCTGATGCAACACACTCTGTGAAAAAGGCTGATTTTTATTTTAAAGTGACTCATTTATTGAAAAGTGCTTATCACAGTTTATTTCAATGTGTATGAACTCGATCAGAATTGTGCATTTGTGCTCAGTTCCAGTGTGTCCAGGTGACCAGCGAGCCGTGCTGCTGTGTTTTGGTGGCCAGTTTTTTCAAATCATTGCTTAGTTTTGCTTATAAAACTGGATTCATGTCCATGTATGTTTGCTTGACATCATCTGTTCCATTTTTTTTTGACACTTTTGAAATGAACACGAGCAAATTAAACCAGTTTTGGAAGATCTGACTGGTGGCTTTTAGACCTGGACATGTTGTTTGTCACAGACGAGCTCCTGCATTCTTAAGACAGGCTGGAGACGTCCACCAAAGAATCAAAAAGGGGTTGAGACATCCACAACGACTCTGACTATTTCGAGAGAAAAGTAGACACACACAAAAATGGAAAAAGTTCACAATTCAAGCACCAAAACTTCTAGTCTCTGGTTCTCAAGCAGGAAAATGGAGAACCCCTCCAAACCTCTCAAGACACTCTGGAGACTCCCTGCTGTTCTCCAAATCAGTAAAAGCAGTTGCAGCGCAGTGGAACACTGCCTTAAGGCTGCAATGGACAACTGACTTCAAAATGAAGTGCTGTTAATTGTAGCTTTGCAAAAGTGTCTCATCGATGTACCTACAAACGTCCAGCTGATGGGCGCTGTCCTGCTCGCACAGCGGTGAACCTAATGTGACCTACACTCGTATCCCAAAGCACAAAACTAGATGAAGGCAAAGACCCCGCTATAAAGAGGTGAGAAAGCAGCAGTGGTGCAGAGCGGTGACAAGAACGAGAGAAAATGGGAAAGATAAATATGGAAATAGCTTCACGTTGACACAATCAGATCACATGGCCTGTTGTTGAAAATATTTAATGGGTTTGTCTTGATTCTTGATGGTAACGCTCTGGTCCTTTTTTTTTAATATAAGGCATTTTTTTAGATGTAATGCACAAAGAACTGTTTGTAACTGCACATGCAACCATGTGCAGAATCCAAGATCAATTATTAACCAATAAATAAACACAGAGCTCAGTAGAGGCCAGAAATATCCCATTATGTAACCTCACACACATCTGGTTCTGATGACTTAAAGTAATCTTACTCACAAATTCAAATGTCATTAAAGTGATTTTGTCAAAATCCTAAATGTTGAAGATGACACTTTAAAATGACGTTTTACCGCTTCAGTCTCGTCACGTGTTGGTTCACGGCCCATGTTCGTGACTTCAGGCATGACTGATTTCTGGACTGTATCTTTAGAAGACAATCATCAGTCATGGCAGCCTGCAGAGCAGCTGTCGGATGACTATAAACGACTTGTATTCCTCCTAACTTGCATTTTTGACCCGTCTTACATTTAGTCATTTCACAGAGAGACTGATGGTTCGAGGTCAGAAGGGTGTTCAGCGACTTAAAGTTGTTATTACTGCACATCTTTCTCCTCAGTGGTATGCTGGCAGGATTTAGATTGGTGCATTTCAGGTTTGCACATCATTAGACTGCTTGTTCAGCTCTTAGTTGCTCTTATTTCACATAATGCTGCTGCTTCATATCTATTTAAAATCTCGGGGTACGCCTGACAGAACACACTTTGTTTCAGCATCACAGTCCTCTCACATCACCGTTTTAAAACATCATAGCAGGAAAATAGTGAAGATGAGAATATGAAGTAAAAAAATGAGAGCTAGTGTGTTAATCTGCTTGAACAGCCATTGTCTGCTTATGTTGTGTCTGCTGTAATTTGTCAGCTTGCAGGTTTGTACCTGCTGAGCAGATTTACCAAACGTGGCCCACAGGAAACACGTATCAGCAGGAGGTTCCCTCACATGGGCTGAATGTTTAAGAAGCATTCACTTTCCTGTGATCCATTTTTATTCTGTATAATATTTTATGCTGATTTTAGCTTTTTCAGCTAATTCCCACTTTTTTCAATTTCAGCTACAGTAATTGGAAAAAAAAATCAACTTCAACTGTATTGAACTTTTTTCAACCTAATTCAGGTAAAATGTGCTCTCTCCACTTCCTTCTTGTAATTTATGCTTCTCTCTTCTTTTTTTTTTTAGCTACTTTTCAGGTTTTGTTTTTTATTGGTTGTTGCTAATTTTAGTTTTTGTTTAGATAATTCCCACTTGTATGTGGTAATTTCTGCTTCTTTCAGCCTAATTGGGTAAACATGTGTTTTTTCTTCTTTCTTCCATGCTAATTTATGCTTTGTCTACCTTTTCAGCTTATTTTATTTTTTAGAATTTTTTATTTTGTTAATTTCAGCTGTTTTCAGATAAATTCAAGTTTTTCATAGTAATTTCTTATACTTTCAGACTA